TCAGTGATAAAGACTGGAGGGTTTCCATATCTTTGCTTGACATAATTCATCAAGCTTCTCATCCCTCTAGGCACTATGTACAACCATATCGAACTTGCCTGTAACGTGACAACAACAATAACAACATCAACTTAGAAAATTCGAAGGTCCTAATTAATTTGGGAGATGTATAACTAATCAAATATATCTTACCCTATCTCCAATAGCGCTTAAACCCTTGAAAGCTGAATATTCAAAACAAAGATTATCAGTAAGGTCTTGGATACTCATAATAACTACGGTTTAAGTGAGAGAAGAGTGTGCTTTTATTTTCTTACGTAAAGTGACGGTTCCAGAATCAGAAACAGCGTCGTGTAGGAGAGTGCCGATGAGATTGGTGTCATTGTTCCTTGCGTAGTACGTTGTGTAGTGATTAATCCCTACAAAATCTAGAGATCCCTTCACCAGAGCAGATTGAGATCCCGTAAACACTGGCAATCTGCTTCCGACTCTGCTTCTCATCGAACTTGGGTAATCCCCAAACATGAACGGATCCAAAAACCTAACATCGTATTAAGATATATCACTTTCGAATCAAGAAACGGTGGTGGCGTTGATGGACTAATATACAACTCGTTGAAAGCTTACCAGCCAAGTTGAAAGTCTTGAGCTCTTTGAGCAGCTTCAATGTCCTCTGTCTTGTTTGATTCCGGTTCATACCACATTACATCAAACGCTACCCCTAACGAACCTCCTTGCTTTGCCTATCATAATTATACATCAAAACCATATCTTGTATATTCATATATAACATCATGTTTCTAATATAGTACTGATTCACCAACCTTATACTTCTTCCTGTAGATATCGGATACGGTGGCGTGGGTTAAGATAACATTGTGACCGACGATGTAAGGCTCGGTAGATGAGTTTCCAGAGCGACAAGTGAGCTTGAAAAGAATAGAGCAACGACCTGGAGCTTGTAGACCAACGTCATAGCCTTGTATCGCAAATGTGTGTGGCTCATTGAACGTGATCCAGTGTTTCACTCTATCTCCAAATCTCTCGAAACAAACCTCCGCATACGCTGCAAAATCATTTCTACAAAAAAAAATGCGTGCATATAATATTATTGCCTTTTTGAAATTACAATCTGCTTGTGTAATAGTTTCAATGAATGTTTATATGGTTCTGTTGATAAAAAAAAAAAGTAGTTTTATATGGTTCCTTTTTTTTATGGATTATTACATGATTTGTGGGTTTAGCCAACCGAGGTATCGATCATGGAGTGCCTGAGGAAGGTCCCAATGGTACAGCGTCACGTACGGCTCGATCCCTACAATTGTTTTGTATAGAACATGTGAAACTCGACCAACCACACTTTAAATAAGAAAACATTTTTTAATGACTGATGTGATGTTAACTAGATGACTAAGTTAGACCCTTAAATATCATGCGACAACAAAATTAATAAAAAAAAACCTTGAGCAAGTAATGCATTTATGAGTTTGTTGTAGTGGTCGATTCCGGCTTCGTTTATTTGTCCCACGCCATCTGTCAACAACATATGTAATAATTATCATTATTAGTTCATCAAGAAGAGTCATATCAAATCTAATACTCAACTGCAAGTGTGTAGTATATGTAATTAGTAACACTAGTTTACTCGAAATCTAAAGTATAAAACTTAAAATAGAGCAAAAAAGATAAACATAGCAAGAAAAATGTTGTACTTGGAAAGATGCGTGCCCACGAGATGGAAAATCTATAAGCGTCCATTCCCATATTCTTCATGAGTTGTACATCTTCCTGCACTCATCATTTTGTAATTTTTAACTAAACCATACTTCATTGTTTTTGTAATTGTATATGGACAAATTTGTTTCTAGTAGTTTGTATAAGTAGGGTTTACCTCGTAACGGTGGTACTGATCAACTGCAACATCAGCGTTGCTAAAATCGGTGATTTTACCAAATGTGTGTGAGAATGTGTCCCATATCGTAGGACCTCTTCCATCAGCCTTCACTGCTCCCTCGTGCTGCAACAATTATTACTTTCATTAACTGTTTTACTACAAGTCCATTATTATTTTCGTTTTCATTTTAAATGATTGAAACATTAATTGGCCGGTGTGCTTGGTTAGGTAGAGAGACATTGCGAGAAAGCAAGACTTTGGTTTTTTACTTGACTTTGACTTTGGCTACGCTGGAAATGATGACAAAATAAGAGAAAACTTTTATAAAATGTGTAAAAAGAACGGGTCGTTGTTACTTGTTTGTAGAAACCCTTTTTTAATTTTGTTTGTTTTTTTTTTGTTTTCTTTGGAGAAAAACAGAACCCACAAGAAAAGGAGGAGGAAGTATTGGATGCCCGTGAGTCATGAACGTATGTGGCCTTGTTTACGCGTCACGCACTCATTCGTATATGGATGTATGTGGACCAACAAATCAGGACTTATGTCGCTTCTATACGAATAATAATCACATAAGAGTTTCAAATTGGATTCACCATTAATTTATTTGACAACAAAAACATACGACAAGTCTTTTCAGATACTATTGAATTGCGTTTCCATATACTAGTAGTATTTAAAAAGAAGCTTTTTGGCATTTTAACAAACTACCAAGAAGATGCGGAATTGCATTTGCTATTTTAAAAGGTTTTTTTTTTTTTTTGCTATTGGGAGAAGAAAAACATATCACATGGGGAACGTATATGTTCTGATTTTTTAGGTCGTGAATAGTTTTGGTTTTCAGATTCCATTTAAACTTAAAGGGAAATGATAAATAGCTCAAAACAAATAAAATAAATAAGAAAAAAAGAGAGTGGAGAGGAGAGGGGACCTGAAAAGCAGAAGAAGCAGTTCCGAAGACAAAGCCCCTTGGGAAACTGCCTCTGGTAATGTCCGCACATATGCATGTCTTATCCATCATCATCAACACCATCGTCATCATCATGATTAGTCTCCTTGCAGCCATCTCTTTCTTCATCGTTGCTTCTCAAGTTACATATAATTTATGTGTAGATCGAACGAAATTCTCTTTAGATGAGGAAGAAAGAAGTAAGAGGGACGAAACAATGAGAAGGAAGAAAGAAAGAAAAAGAGGAGTGCGAGTGAAAGAAAACTATGAGGGTTACTATATATAGGAGAAGGGTTAAATCATGAGGGATATGAAATATTGGGATCAGATGCCAATTATAAAATGACAATTTGAATTTTAAGATAGGAAAAAAAAATGTCAGGCAAAATATTGAAAGACATTAAAAAATGTTTTTGTAAAGGAAAAACAAGAATTGAAAGACACTAAAAAACCAATTGATGAAGGAAAAACAAGAAAAGTAGACTAACAAATACATGAAAAGTAAAATATCCTTAATGGTATAGGAGAAGTGAGTTATGTTGACAAAATTTAAGCTAGATTTTATCAAACCATATGTTTTTTTGTCATATTTATTTAGTTAAATTCATTAGTCACTATATAATTTTAGTAACATAAAAATTTATCATAAATTTCAGTAAACAGTTCACATAAAAGTTATATATACTGTATATATGTTGGATTCACAATTATATATGTAAACAATTTTAAATTCTCACATATTTTTCCTCTTGTGAAGCTCGTTTAGGGTAGGATATCTCTAATATTTTTTTCCATACAACAAACAATAAAGATAAATGTTGACTGGTATGGAAAAACTTATGGCTAATTTTTTTACCTTAATAAGTTGTACTTGATAGTAAATTACCATGATTGAAACTGTCTTCTATTGGTAAGAATTGATCAACAATGTATAGTATATTCTTTAACCGCACGTTAGATGTGATCCTTTTAATCTCACGTTCCCATTATTTCTTTTCTTATCTCAAAACATAAAACACATTATATTTGAAAAAGTTAGCAAGGAGCGTATAGCCTGAGATAATGTGCATATAAACGCCAATAAACGAGTAGCAATTATGACCGACGCTACTAATTAAATTGCGGTTGTGTTTGTGGCCCCTCTCTTTTTTATCACTACTTGTTCCCATTTACTTTTCCCAAAGAATTCTCTAGGCATCCCCAAATAGTAATAATACATTTGTATCAATCTTTTTCTCTGCTTTTTCTTTTCTTGTGTTACAAAATAAGTAAGTAAACTTCAAGAAAAGCACTCATGGCTTAATCAACCACACACACACGCATTTCGATGCTCGGGTTCCTCCTATGATAAGCACTATTCCGTTTCTGTGTTCCTTTATTTTCGTTTTGTTTTTGTGTTAATATGCATATGTTTAAGGGTGTGTGTTAGACATTTATGATTTATGTGGCAACAAATGAATAAAGAAATTCACAAGTAGCTTGTGAAGTCATTGAAAATGCTTATTTTGACGTTCTCACCACACGACACATAATCTGTTTTCATTTTTTTTAAAAAGTGGATGGAGGATTGGGGAGTTGGGAATCATCTGTTTCTTAATGATCATTACAGATATATGCGTTTGTTAGTTTCACACTAACAAGTCTAGTAGTCAACGAAGATACACTCTTCTCTTCCCTCTATTTTCTCTTGTTCAGATGCAATTAGTCTTATCCATTTACACACTTGTGTTCACATTCCTATGCGTTTTGTTACCATACCTGTTTAATGCGACGCCGTTTACCGTCTGTTCCACTAGTACGAATAAATATCACTCATTCAAGAAAAGACAAGTTAAATGTGTAATATAGCTTCGGAGATTTCAGAGACGGTGTCACACTTATGCAGAAATCAACACCACCATGTGTTATATAGCATTTTAAACATTCATTATTCAAAACCACAGAGGAGATTCGTTAACAAGTTCGGCCAGAACAGCAAAGGCTGTGTTTTTTTATATAGGTTACAATAACAACTAGCAAGTGACTTCCATAAGAGTAAGAACAGAGCAGAGAGATGTCAACTTATTACTTAAGACTGAATGTTTTCCAGACACATCAAATCGACCCTCCCTTTTATAATAGCATCCACTAAGTATTCGAGTACAATATATCTAAAATAGTTTAGAGGGTAAGCAAAATATTGGGGATCCCCAATTGGACCCGTCTAACAAAACTGGATATCCGGGAGCCCGGAACCTGATCTTCCGGATAGCTAACTCCATAAAGGTGCCCCGATGAGGTGATTTTGGAAACAAATCCTCCTCCTCCTGGTGGTGGTGAAGGAAACCGGACCAAATTCTCGACCAGTGGAGATATAACATAAACGCCTGGAGAGGGACAACGGAGGGAGTCCGTGTCTGGAGAATACTTGAACAGCCTCTTGTTATTGTCAGTGAAGAAAAGACTCCCTCCCTCAGAAACAGCCAGTGGGGTGAAGTAGGTAATGTGCCATCGGCACCATAAAGTTGCAAAGGATGATAAAAGTATGTTGTAAGTCATAGTCCATGTTTCTTCCTGTGCATCCATGCACCATATCTCTAGCTTCCATTCACCTGTAGTATTGGTCTCGCCTATGGCTAGACGGCCTTCAAGGTTCACTATCTGAGCTGCTGGTTGTTGCCTAGGCGGGGGTTCTGCGGAGACAACCCGGAACTCTTCTGTGTGGAGATCCAAAGCCAGTAACTTGTGTTTAGTGAACAAGTTTAACCAGTAAACGGACCCGTTCACGCAAGCCGACTTCCTGTTCGATTCAATCTCGCAAGGAGGCGGGCTCAGTTCCCGCCATTCCCCGATGTTAATATCAAGAATCAGACAATGGTCAGGATCAGACAACATCCTCACTATTTTATAGCTCCCGTTAACTTGGTCCTTACCGAATCCCATCGCCCAATATCCAGGGAACACGTTGTGCCACCACCTTTTATTTGCGACTTCCTGCTCATGGTGGGATGGCCCCGAAGGGAATCTAAAGAGTTCTCCGGTCAGAGGGTTCAAAACCTTGACCCAACCTGGTACGGGGATGCAAACCAAACCGTTACACGTCAGCGAAGGTCGTGTGGCGTCCTCGCATCGTAAGTAGACCATCTCGGCCTCTGTGTCTCCTTCGAACCACGACTCGGACTCATCTCCGACAGCCAGGAATAGTTTCCGCCCTTTTTTAACGCTCGCACGCCTCTCCGCGAACCACCTCGACTCCACCGTTGCTTTCCATTGTTTCGACACGGTTTTGAATCTTAAGATTGACTTCAATGGCAACCTAATGAGTATGTCTTCCACCAGATCATCGGCAACTATGCTCATCGGATTAGGTCTTTTTCCTTTAGATTTTCTGCATCTTCTCTTTCTTACAAAATAATGTAAAGTAGTAGATACGCCCAGCTTTTGACTTTCCTTTTTTCATCTTTATTTTTTGGGTTTTCTGCAAAAAAAAACTGTCACCTAAAGCAAAGGTGTCTCACACTTATGCAGAAATCAACACCATCATGCGTTATAGCATTCGAAACACTTCATTATTCCAAAACCACAGAGAAGATATCTTTTAACAATTACGGCCACAACAGCAAAGGCTGTGTTTTTTTTTTGTTTACATAGGCTACAATAACAACTAGCAAGAGGACTTCCATGAGAGTAAGAACAGAGCAGAGAGATGTCATCTGTCAGTTCTTCCTTCCCTCCGACAAGATAATGTGGTATCCGTGCCTGCAATCACATTCATCACCTCACAATCACATTCATCTTCAACTAAACAAAAAGATTCTGAGATTAAAGAAAGAAGAAAGAAGAGAACAGATGTGAGCATACGTGGATTTGAAGGGTGCACTGGTGACTCCAACAGGTGTGTTGAAGGCGACATCTTGGAATGGACCTGCCATCTTTCCCCTTGGGAACCATCCAAGATCTCCTCCTTTCTTCCCTGATGGGCACTCCGAGTACTCTGCTGCAATCTGAGATTGTTCCACGCACACACAAACTCGTGTTGAGATTCTCCACAATTTCATTACACACACACATCTAATTACATATATATAGCTAGCCGAAAACTGAAACTTGCAGGTCTAGATATATACCAATGACCATGGGGTGTTGAACTTAAAGGATTTTCAACTTGTTATGTACATGTCAAAGCTAAACAAAATTACTTGCACTATCTTAGATTCGATGTGTTAACTCACAGAACAACAAAAGGGAAGCAAATTTAGGATTTTTGTTTCACCTTAGCAAACTCAGCAGGAGGCACCTTGTCTCCGTTGCTCAACCAACCATCCTGCAACTTTTTGTATGCCTCGTTGATCTTTCCTTGCTTCTCGCACAGAACGTGCCTCGCTGAAGAAGAAAACACATAAAAACCGTTAAAACAGTTTTCATAAAAACCTTTAACATGGTGTGAACCATGGTGTTATTGTACCACAAAATGCTCAAGTTCTATAAGAACATACAAGAACACATGTACCAAAGACAAAAAAAAACACACCTTTAACATAGGTGCATGTCCCAAGACCATCAGCTGCTTTGCCTGCTTTGCCTTTCCCCTTGGAGGGAGCTTCATCACTGCCACTTGCTTGCTTTCCCTTACCCTTCCCACCAGCTTTCGCGTCTTTCCCCATTTAACAAAACACTGCAAGAAACAAGTTACAGCCCAAGATTTTAACTTTGTTATTTTACTGTCATCAGATTTCGAGGGTTTTCCAAAATCTTGTGAAACCCTGGAGCTAAAACCCTATAGAAAACCTAAACCCTTAAAACAAAACCCAGCAGAGATTCAATGACTTGGAACCTATACTGGACTTATGAAACACAAACAGTGATCATAAATTCACCATTTAAAAAAAAACTCTTAGTAAGCTCAGATCCATCAAATTAAGAATGATCACAGGCTCACAGCACAACAAGATTGCGAATTTTGTTGTAAGAAAGAGTATTTCAACATTTTGGTAAATCGAAAAGCGAGGAGCTCAAGTAAAATCAGTGCGTCTAACCACATAATAAAATCTCAAATGGGATAAACAATGATCGAGACAGAAGATGTAACGCAAAAAACACAAACCCCAGTTTTTAATATACAGCCTTCAAACAATCAGAGAATTTTGACCAGCATATATAACAAAACTCATCTTCGACATCCGGAAAAAAAAAAAGACAAAAAACCAAAAGGGATATATCTCTTGAAACAATATAGACAGTAAGAATTCGAATTAGAAAGATGATTGAGAAGCTGGCAAGGAGAGCAGAAGACGAGGACTTTTACCTTCAGGTTCTTCTTCTTTCAGATTGAACGCGATTCGAGCAGAGAGTGAGAGAGAGAGAGATTTAGCTTGATACTCGGAATTAGAATATCTTTATCTTTAGCAAGGAATATAAAACCCACCTAGTGATGTGGGCTAAGGCCCAGATACGCATTCTGGCTTTTCAATTTTGACTCTCAGCGAAGATTCTCTTACGGCGGCTCTGCATAGACCGGCAAGCCGGAAGAGGCGGAGAAAGTGTAGACCGAAACCGAGTGAGTGAAAAATGGCGGATGATGAAGAACCACCGATGGCTGTTCAAATCCAACCGGAAATTTCTGTCGGCAAGAATCTCTCCGTGGAGGAATCAAGCGACGCTGTTTCCGTTGGTGTCACTGTCATCACTGGTTATCTCGGCGCCGGAAAGTCCACCGTGAGCAATGTCAAATTCTCTTTTTTTTTTTTTTTTTCATTGATTTACGTGTGGAGTTTAGTTTAGTTTTGATTGTTGATTTATGCTGTGATGTGATTGATTTTTGCCCAGCTGGTGAGCTATATTCTGAACGGGAAACACGGGAAGAGAATCGCGGTGATATTGAATGAGTTTGGGGAAGAGATTGGAGTAGAGAGGGCAATGATAAACGAAGGAGAAGGAGGCGCCCTTGTTGAAGAATGGGTCGAGCTCGCTAATGGCTGTGTTTGCTGCACTGTTAAGCATAGCCTTGTTCAAGCCCTCGAGCAGCTTGTACAGAGAAAAGACAGGTGCTTTGTTTTTTTCTTCTATACCTTTCTACAATGATGATCTTCTATTTAGGTTCTAGAGATATTGGTGATGATTGTTATCCCTAAAGCTCTAAGATTTGGTAAAGGCTTTACAAACCGTAGGCATATCTCACCGAAACTGAGTATGATCGCTTAACATTCCGGAGAAAAGGACGCATTTTTCTATTTACTATGACGCTCTGCTTTTGCTTTCTCGTATGCAGGCTTGATCATATATTGCTGGAGACGACAGGTTTAGCAAATCCTGCTCCACTGGCTTCTATTCTTTGGTTGGATGACCAGTTAGAATCAGAAGTCAAGCTTGACTGCATTGTTACTGTGAGTATCTCTTGTTCACTTCTCCTCTGTCTCTGTTTACTTGTCCTTTCGTCTTGTACATATAACAGATGAATTGTAAAACGTAGAATAGTGTTATCTACACCATTTATGTCTCTTGTGTCATTTTTAACTGACTTTAGCTCCTTGAACAGGTCGTGGATGCAAAGAACCTTCGTTTTCAGCTCAATGAGCGCCGTGACTCATCCTCATTTCCCGAGGCTTTTAATCAGATAGCATTTGCGGTAATCGTAATGTGACGCAACAACCAATAAGAACCATGACGTATTGCCTTCTGCATCTTTCATCTCACCTCGTCACGACGTGATTCTTTTATTCGTTTTGTAGGATACGATCATAATGAACAAGGTTGACTTGATTTCTCAAGAGGAATCTGATGAACTGGAGAAGGAAATCCATTCCATCAACTCCCTCGCCAATGTTATCCGCTCCGTTAGGTGCCAAGTTGATTTGTCCAATATATTAAACTGCCAGGCGTATGATTCAGCCGTTAAGTCTCATGAACTTCTCTTCTCTATCGTCTCTGATTATATACATATATACCCGCTCTCGATTACTATTTATGCTTTTGACTACAAAACAATTGAATTTTTCCTGGTTAACTGTTGCGTTTAGCATGTTAGTCGTCTGGAATCCCTGCTAGAAGCAAATAAATCATTAACAACAACGGATCTTCATGATAGTGGAGTGAGGACTCTATGCATCAGTGAACCTCAACCTTTGAACCTTGACAAGGTAGCAAAGTCGTCGAATATTTCTCTGACTATTAGTTAAAAATATGGTGATCCTTCGTGACACACCTGCTTGTTCTCGGTTTGACAGGTTCGTTTGTGGCTTGAGGAAATTCTGTGGGATAAAAGGTTGGAGATGGATGTATATCGTTGCAAGGCTGTGTTGAGCATTCAAAACTCAGACCAGCTGCACATTTTGCAGGTAATGTAGTCGTGAAATGAAACATGAGTAAAAAGTCTTGTGATGAGATGACCCGGAATGTCCTTATTAACATTGCTTCTATGTTATTGAATATGTGCAGGCTGTTAAAGAGATATATGAGATAGTTCCAGTGCGAAAATGGAGTGAAGAAGAGAATCGAATGAACAAAACAGTATTTATAGGTCGGATCTGTGTTTTTTGCATCGTAGTGAACTTTATTGCTACCAAAACTCTGTTCTCTCTTCTTGCTGATTCATGTAATTGAACATGTGCAGGATACAATCTGGACGAAGAAGCTCTTAAAAGCGGATTAAGAGTCTGCAGAACCTGAAGAAAAACTCTTCCGACTTGTATTGAAAACCATATTTGGGATCTTAGAAATTGTCATTTTAGCATATTGCAGTGTTACTTTACATACTGAATCTTAATAGATACTATATTTGTAAGTCCTTGCCACACCCAATTTCTAATCAGAATTTGAGACAACTTTAAGTCTGTTTTTGCAGAAGAAACTGAAAAGAACCGCGTGTCTAAAATGCCTATTAAAGGATGATCCCAGAGTAAGGCTGTGATTGGTAAACTTGGTGGAATGATGAAAAAATGCAATTCCGCAAGAATTTTGCCAATCAGAAAAATTTTGCAGAAAAATGCCAAAACTCGAGTTCTGCGGAATGGCGGAAATACTTACAAAAAATACAAAAAAAAAATTGATTAAGTGAAAAAGTGTGTTTCAAGTAGTTTATTTGCGGAATTAATATTTTATATCATTCAATTATATAACTAATTATATTTTATTATTTAAATAAATATAAATAAATATATTTATATTACATATATTTATATAATAATAAGATTATATATGTAGATTAAATATTGCAATATAATTATATATTTTATAGTAAATAATAAAATAAAAATAAAAATAAATAATTACAATAAAAATTTTAATTTTTCTAATTATATTAAAATTATTTTTTTTATAATAATTAATATTTTAATTTTTATTAGATTAAATTATATATAAAATATATTATTATAATAAACTAGGAAAAGGGACCCGCTTCGCGGGGTTAATTTGCGATATATTAAAAATTAAATTGAAATTTATTTAAAATAATTATAAATAAAATATAAAATATAAATATTCAAAATAATTTATAATGATTAAAATAAAAAAGTATATATTTTTTTTTAATTATTAACAATAAGTTCTAAAAAAAATGTACAAACTAATTAAGATAAAAAGATTGTTACTATTAATTATTAATAAAAAAAATAAAAAAACTTAAAATTAATAAGATACACAATTTTTTAATTATGAAAAAATATAATCTGAAAATATGATATAAATATGTGATTTTTAAACTATTTTTATAATTATTAAAAATTTATATTCTCAAAAAAGTGTAAAGCAAAAAATAAATATATAAGTAATATTTTAATAATAAATCCACTATAGTAAGAAGGTAAAAGTTAGACCCAATTGATTTTTTCTATTTTTTAAGCAATAGAAATAGCTTTCAAAATACACAAATAACAGATGTGTTAGAAAAACGCAATCATTTATAATGAAAAGACGCAATCATAAATTTTAAAACGACAGAACTTTTTAAGTGGTATTTATTAGGATTATTATTATAGATAAAATGGTTTTTTATGTGATTTGAATTATATAAATAATTCGAATAAACCCAAATTATCTGTGATGAAAAAAATGTAACCATTAATAATGAAAACGTCTGTTTCATTATATTGAAAATATGCATCCACAATTTGAAACCACACAACTTATCAAAATGCAAATAGTCTTTCTAAACACAACCCTTGAATTATTAGATTTGATGTTATAGAAAAGAATGCTGACCTTCAAAACTTTTATTATTTCACAGTTTATTGTAATAATAAATCCACTATAGTAAGAAAATAAAAGTTAAACTTAAATAATTTTTTTCTGTGGTTTTGAACAATATAAATAGTTTTGATAAGACACAAATAACAGTTGTGATGAAAAAACGTAACTATTTATAATGAAAAGAAACAACCATTTATAATGAAAAAAGCAACCATTTATAATGAAAAGACGCAACCACACATTTTCAAACGACACAACCTTGTAAAGGGTAAATGGCATTTATTCAGATATTTATGTTTTGTAAGTGACATTGATTCGGATAGTTACCAGTTTTGTCACCGGTCACCATTATAGTAAGAAAATAAAAATCAGACCCAAATAATTATTATAGATAGATAAAACGTACATTTAAAAGATAAAAAAATGGTTGGTTTAGTAGAAAAAAAAAATACAACCCTTGAATTATTAGATTTTATTTCATATAAAAGAATGTTGACATAAAAAACTTTCATTATTTCACAGCTTATTGTAATAATAAACTCATTATGGTAAGAAAATAAAAGTTAAACCTAATAAACCTATTATAGTAATAAAATAAAAGTTAGACCCAAATAATTTTTTTCTGTGATTTTGAACGATATAAATAGTTTTGAAAAGACACAAATTATAAAATTATAGTTAATGAAAAGACGCAACCATTAGTAATGAAAAGATACAACCACAAATTTTGAAAAGACACAACTTTTCGAACTGCAATTGGCATTTATTCAGATTGTTATTATATATAGATTAATTTTATATTTTTTTGTCATTCCACTATTCCGTCATTCTGCATAATTTATCCAATCATATCAAAATTATTATTATTCCACTATTCTGCATTCCGCCATTCCGTAGTTTAATTTTTTCCGTCGTTCCACAGTTTTATTGTGTTACCAATCGGAGCCTAAGTAACAAAGCTGCTTAACACACAAGCTTCGTGAATAGTACAAGGATAGATAGGGAAACATTCAAACACCAAGCTTTTCAAATATCCAAAACCAATAGACATGGATGTCTTGCAACAAGAAACACACAAAATGGTCTAAATCAGAAGATTTAGGAAAAAAACATATCAGGTTCTTCATGAAATGATTTGTTGTTTCTTGTCACCCACCAACATCCTTCACGGCACAGATATGCTTCTCTCATGTTGAAGAGAATACAACACATTCATTGAATCATAATTGCTTGCTCAATCATCATTGTTTCATTTTCAAAGTTTTGAGTATTTTTTTACCTTTAACAATAATTGATTATGGCATACTCAATGATAAGCGGCTCTCCATCAATCTCTTGAGCGATGCGGAGGTAACCTCTGTCTCCGTTGAAGACATTTCCCGAGCTATCTTGGAACTCCCAAAAAGAGATTCCATTCTCATCAACACCATGCCCTGTTAAGAGCATGATGTGAACTACTAAGTCAGGATTTTGAAGATTTTGCTTGTACGAAAGAAATTCTTCAGCTGTTGGTGAAAGAACTCTCTTCAAAAACAAACAAAAAACAAAAAGCAAAATATTCATATTCAGTGGTGTGATAGTATGATACACTGAAAACAAAATCAAATAACTTACATTTCCTTGCACTACAAGTGGATATCTCGGAAACCATACAACGAGTGTTAAATACACCATTGGCAAGACTTCTTTCGACTTCAAATTCGTTTGATAGTGTCATTAGTTTCTTGTGCAAAGTGGGTTCAAAAATAAAAATAATTAGCTTCTAATTAACTAAAAATATAAATAATAAGATAACCAAAAAAAAGGAAAAAGAAAATATTAAATTTATTATATGAGATGACAAATTAGTTAAATTAAACTTAACCAAAACAGGATACAATAAAATTGTGGGTAAAAAAATAAGTTTTCTGGTTTAAAAAGAATATTTAAGATTTTACTTAATGTACTTAAATAATTAACAATTTACTTAACTAAAAAAAAAATAGGGTAGTTTGCTATATTCAAAAGCGAACAGTTCCGTTCGGGTTGAAAAAAACTTGGTTTGGTTTTAATCGGTTTGGGTTCGGTTGAGATGGTTTTGTTCAAAAGCAATGCCCACACATTCATGTGCGGATAGACAATGATTATGTTGATATGCTTATTGCCTTATGCATATATCAGCTCACTTGGAGCAAATTGGCGCTGAGCGCTCTCAAGGCACCTCAAAGCAAGAGAGTTAATAAATTCTCCTGAAAGTGTTGTTGATCCCCACAGGCTGTCGTTGATGCATGATGATCCTAAGGTTATTGCCTCTGAGCTTTACAACAAGTACAAATATACCTGGTTTGTAGTCTAGGTATTTGACTTTGTTGGTGCTTTTTAAGTATCAAGATTTACCTACCTCTGCTATGTTGGACAAACTCAGTCATGCTTAAATGTGGAGTGAGGACTCTATGCATCAGTGAACCTCGACAAGGTTAGCGAATTCTTCACACACACTCTTGGACAAATTTGTTTCAAAAAATAGTGTTCTTCGTGGTACATTAGATTGTTCTCGGTTTGACAGGTCCGTTTATGGCTTGAGGAAATTCTGTATATCGTTGCAAGGCTGTGTTGAGCATTCAAAACTCAGACCAGCTGCACATTTTGCAGGTAATGTATTCATGAAATGAAACATGAGTAAAATGTCATTGTGATCACCCGTAATGTTCTCATTAACATTGCTTCTATGTTATTGAGTATGTGCAGGCCGTTAAAGAAATATATGAGATAGTTCCAGCGCGAAAATGGAGTGAAGAAGAGAGTCGAACGAACAAAATAGTATTTATAGGTCGGATCTCTGTTTTTGCATGGCAGTTAACATTATTGCTACCAAAACTCATATCTCTCTGCTTGCTGATTCATGTAATTGAATATGAGCAGGACACAAACTGGACGAAGAAGCTCTTAAAAGTGGACTAAGAGACTGCAGGCCCTGAAGTTGTATTGAAAACCAGATTGGTCTAAAGTCTAAACCATTTTGGTTTTGGCCGATCTGGTAGGAAGCTCTCTAGTATCAATTGCCGATTTGGGTTATTAGAAATTGTAACTTTGGCATTGCAGTGTTTTCGATGATAATTATTGAGCTTACTTTAAACGTCCAAGACAAAAACATTTTACGGAGTTTAGTTTAAGCATCCAGACAAAAGTTAGAAAACAAGGAAAGGTTGCATTCCAAGGAGCTTCCTCGAGCTTTCTACTCCGCACTCATCTCATTTCACCTCAAGAATGAAATCTAAAACAAACAAGGCAAGTTTTGCTTCGTTATCAAGAATCAAGAATCAAGAATCAAGAATAGAATCAAGAACAAAATTAAATAGAATCAAGAACAAAATTATGTACCACGGCGAGGATGGCCCTGGCCGACCCACACGACGACGACGATCATGGACAGTGTGTCTTGGTGGTGTCGTAATAGGCCGAACAGATACTTTGCGATCTCCAATGTAGCTCCCATCAAGAACCCGAACCTTCTCTATTGCGTCAAATCCCTTAACACGCACGGCAGAGCATCTGTAGAAATCAACAAGGACAAGTCTTAAGAGAGGAGCAATTAATAGCTTGAATGCCATTTAGGAGAGGAAGGAGCCACAAACCCCTTCTTGATGACAAAGACTTCAGCGACCTCAACACATGAAGAGAAAAGTTCCCTCGCGGCGACCTGTATCTCAGTATCACTTATGTCATATCCCTGAACAATCATCGTGGTCGTCCTGCAATGGTTGAATTGCAGGGGTATGAACAAACACGTGCAACGACACATCACAAATCTCCAAAAATCAAATAATATGATTTTACATGTGGTCCGAAAACGGATAAGCCTCGACACAGACATTCCATCCTCCCACGTCACGTCCACTAAGTTTCAACGCCTTGTCTACTGCGTCCTCCCCCACAAGATAAACAAAAGCAGCACACTCATGTTTTCCAATATAAACATCAGTGATGTTTCCACATGAAGCGAAGTGTTTTCTCAACGCACTCTCCACATCCTCGTGAGGAAGCCCACTGTCAAATCCCGTTACGGATATCCTCCCAATGTCACTGCAGATAATATATATTAACAACGACGTGACGAGAACAACACATCGGTTCTTACAAATACAAATCTCAAACAATTTACCGGGCTTTTGGGTTTTGAATGGCTGCATCACACCCCTTCAATTTCATCCCCCTCTCTTTTGAGATCCTCTTCCGTTTCATCCCCTAAGGTACAAACGATCTCATCAGAAATTTCCACTAACTTCAAATATTTCGAGAAACAGGGTTTAAAGAGTGAATAACAAGAAAGCCATAAAGACAACAGTTTTTTTTACTTTGTTGGCGGATTCGTCCATGGAGAAGCTAACAAGAGCGGCTTGCTTAGGTTGATTTTGTTTATCTCTGAAGAAAGGTATTTATAGTTGATTTTGTTCATCATTAGTTTGGGCCTGCACTAAGCCCATTTTTTCCAAATCTTCCGAACACATCAATAGTTTACCTATTTATATTCGGGTTCGGTTTGGTTTGGTCAATAAAAATTAGTTTGGTTCGGTTCATGTTTGATTCGATTTAGTTCTTCCGTTTGGTTTTCATTCGGGTCATACAACTACATGAGTTGTATAAAGAAATCAGTGAGGATCTATCTGGTGATTCAGAGTTTGATTCAACAAGTGTTACAGAATTGTTAGTGATGGGTTTAGCATCCTTTGCTAAAAGCTTTTCATGAATTGAGATAAGGCCCATTCGAAATCCTACTTCCGTTTTCGGATTTAGATCGGCGCTCATATATGGAAATATCTGAAGATATATTCGAATCGCGGAAGAAAATGGTTCCCAATTCATCTCCAAGAAGTTCGAAGGCTTCTGCGAGTTATGGAAGATACAGCTCAGTAAATCCACCCGTACTATCCTCAAGGGAACGGTCAAGCAGAAACGACCAACAAAACCATCCTCAACGGAATCAAGAAACGACTCGACGCTAAAAAGGAACTTTAGGCCGACGAACTCGATGGTGTACTTTGGTCCCATCGTACAACACCTCGCACCGCCACCAGCAAAACCCTGTTCTTCTTAGCGTACGGATGCGAAGCGATGGTTGCTGCGGAAGCAAACGTCCCGAGCCTTCGACGCATCCTTGCTCCCGAGCATCCAGACTTAACGAGGCAATGCTGATCGACAACTTGGACACATTGGAAGAAAAGCGCGACGAAGCCTTACTCCGGATGCAAAACTACCAGAACCAGGCAGCCCGTTACTACAACAAGAAGGTCAGAAACCGCCACTTCGAGGAAGGGGACCTCGTCCTTCGAAAAGTCTACGAGAACACAAAGGAATGGCGAGCTGGCAAACTCGGGGCTAATTGGGAAGGACCTTACATCATCATACGAGTCATCAAGCCCGGAGTCTACCGTCTGGAAACAACGCCTGGCGACGAAGTCCCCCGTTCCTGGAACTCGATGAGTCTGAAGCGCTACTACAACTAGAATGATTTCTACAACGCCCCCGGGCAACAAAAAAAAAAAAAAAAAAAAAAAAGGAGCTCTTACCGAGCTAGTTATCTCTTATGTAATGTGAACTACGAATGGCTTGATCCCATTTTGGGTACGTAGGCCGCCTGCAAAGGTCCAGCTATAACTTAATAAAATCTTCATATTTTACTAATCTTTCGTGTGCTCCCGAGCTCCGTGCTTTACTACTTTACAAACGCTTCTTAGCTCTATTATACATCGGTGTCCTGGCCAGACATTCGATATAACGCCTATAGTTAAGTCTGATCAATTTAACTCGGCAATAACCAAAGTCAAGTCTTGTCTTGTGCACGTTCCTCTTTGAACAATATGGTGAAACCACCTAAAAGGTCGAAGAGAAAAGTGTGTTCCACTTAGTCCGGGAGTCTTTAAAGCCGAGCCCAGACTCGCACTCTCTAGGCCGTGTATGAAGTAAGCCGAGCCCAGACTTGCACTTACATTCGAACCTAGAAAATTCTAAGTCATATTAACAAGATACGCCGACCTGTTCGCATGTTAATATTCGAACTTATGAATACAGTCGTATGATGCAATGAAAGCCGATTATCACTCGCACGCTCATATTCGAACTGAGTTAAAAAGTCGGGACCGACCCCGCACTATCCTAAGTCATAAATCGATTTACACAAATCCGACTCGAATAAACAAAGCCCTAGAATGGGTACATTTCATTAATTCGTGATAAACCCCGCAACACGGGTACAAACGTACAAACTAAGATAAACCCCGTAGCACGGGTACAAAGAAACAAAAGAAACATAAAGGGTCATGCCTCGGGACCCTTGATCTCTCCATCCTCAGATCCAGCCCGGCCTTCATCATCTCGGTCGAACTCTTGGCCTTCATCGCCGCCTTCTCTGCTATCGGTCTTTGCCCGGTCCTCTTCTCTTGTCTCCCCGATCACATCAAGAACGACACCAGGATTCACATCCTGTTCGGTGATCGCCTCGACGAGCGCCAGACTCGAGTTAAACTCATGCTGAACGCCTTCCAAATCGGGTACGTCCCTAAGCTGTTTGATATCCTTCGGAGTTAGCCTTCCTCTGTTCGATCCATGATCATCTCCAAGAAGGACCACCGAAGGATGATCTCTCGAAAAGGCCAGCGCGTCATCGGGCACGTCAAAATCCTCATCGAGAAGCTCTATCTCGTCGTACAGCCCGGCCTCGTCATTCAGCTTCTTAAGCTCGACTTCGATATTCTCAATCACTGATGGCGAACATTTAAAACCATTCCACTCAAAAACCTTGATAGCATCGAGTTGTCCTTCCAGCTGAGCAAGGGAAGTCACGTTCGTGTCTATCTCCTCGCGTTGAGCTATATATGCCCGCGTCTTCCTGATAAGCTTGACATAATGGGAAGACACCGATTCTCGAACGTAAGAAGCCCAGTCATCCCGGGCTTTGATGAGAAGCTCCCTTTCAGCCTCGAATTTCCTCGAGATCGAAGCCAGATCGGCAGTAAGGGACTGGATGCTTTCATCCTTGGACCTCAAAAGAATGTCGCAAGTATCGACCTCGGCCTTCGTCATGGTCAGCTCTCCTTCTTTAGCCTTCACAGCGGCCTCTAGCATATTCTCTCTTTCAAGGCTCCTCTTCAGAGCACGGTCATACCTCTCGACCGCCGCAAGAGAGATTCTTGGCCTGAAAAAGAACAGGATCGATTATCAGCGTAAGATGAAAACTACCGGAAGCCTAGATATGAAGAACGGGAAAATTTACCCTAGTTTGTGCTGAAGCCAGTCGGACGTAGTCGTCTTTATAAAAGAGCTCGTCCATCTTACAGGACGGGAGGGGCAGACCCTTCATCTCTCACGCAAGGCGAGCACTGGACATCTCATCCATATCGATCGGCTGCTTGCCCCGGTACTCAAAGTTAAAGGCATACTTGCCCGGGCAAGAATTAGCTTTCTGCCTCTTTGCAGTTGGTTAGACTCTGGGCTCCTTAGCAACCGGTTCGGGGAGCACCGTGTCGTTTGCTACCCTAGTCTCAGGATCCTCATCAGCACGGGATTTCCCTTCGGCACGGGCTGCATTTTTGGTAACCTTCGTCTTTTTCTTCTCGGCTCTTTTCTGCTTTGAAGTCGTTTTGACAGTGGCCGCATCTTGAACGTCGCCCTCGGCGTGAAGGATGGGATCGACATCACTTTGAGCCTCAGCTCTGGAGTCTGGGACCCCTCCTGGAGGCGTATTAGCCTGGGTCGATCCGACCGCAGGATTGTTTGCATCCGAGACAAGGGTCTCACCCGACCTCTGCTCAATACCCCTTCCACTCGCAGCCAGCAAAGACTCCTCGAATTCTTTGGCGAAGTCCCTCGTCTTCCTTGGCTTAATCGGCATTTTCTTTGACTTTCGACGAAGATGACCTGACATAGCGGAGTCGTTAGCCCGGGAACATTTCCTAAGAACGGGATGCAATTTGATCGACTT